CGCGCGCTGTCTGGTCTATAAGGTGCCCCCCGCCAGCATGAGCTCCGAGGAGGTAACTGTTAGGCTTCGTAAGTATGACCTGTCCCGCGAGCTTCCGGCCAGTTCCTATGTTTTCAGAAGTTGACAGTTATGTTTGCTGATGCTTCATGAGCAGAGGTGGTCCGTGTCATGAATGTGCCCGTAAGAGTGTGTGGTTGCTGCGTCGTATCCGCTGTGAGCGCGGAGGCCAGTTCCCGTGGGTCCTTACGTCGCGGCTCCCGGGTCAGTCTCCAGGGCGACCTGTGGGGCTGCGACTCGTGTTCGCACACACCTGGAACTGAGGTCCACTCTACTGTGTTTCTCCTGGAAAAGGACTTCATCACGGGTGGTGCCAGGGGGACGGCCTCTGTGGCACGGGTGCTGGGGAGGGCGCCAGGTGGTCAGCGTCCACCCCGCTTGCCCTGTGACCTGTCACTCACTCCAGGCCTCTGGCTCTCTCCAGCCACGTACAAGCTGGGGCCACAGCAAGAGGTTGGAAAACCCACCTTTGAAATGAAGGTTTCTCTGAATCCCGGTGTAGAAAGCACAGAAAAGAGGGGCCGGGCCAGGTGAAGGGTGGGGGGCCTCACCCCCTGGCCCAGCGGTGGCCTTGCAGGGGGGTAGCAGCCACCAGGGAGACACAGACATGCGGCATCCGCCGCCCCGGCTCTCCTGCGGGCACATGCTGCTGGGCAGTAGATGCTCCTGAAATATGCCTGCCGGTCTCCCCACGACTTGGCGTCTCATCTTTCCCAGGTGCAGGGACCGTCCTGCTAGTTCAGTGTCACCTGTGTGCTGATCCAGCAGCAAACACGATGTCAGTGCTTATTTATGACTCGGGTGCGGCTTTGGGGCCGAGCAGGGAACCGCTGAGCGTGCAGGTTGCTCTGTGAGGGATGCTGCTCATTACGGACACAGCTTGCTGCGGACCCACGTGGTCTGGTTGAGGCCTTGTTATAACATTGCCACCCTGCACGCCCCGCGCCAGGGCCGGCCCCTCCCTCAGCCTGTGTGTGTGTGAATATTTATTGTATGTGGTGTTAGCCGTCTCCTGCCACCACGTTTCCTTCACTTCTTAGTCTGTAAATTTTATTGGGACATGTCCTTTGGGAGTTTGGCTATCTTAGGGCACAGGTATGTCAGATGCCACCGTGTGTGACAAGGAATGTCACTTCCAATGGGTTTCTCCACACCAGCTCCGCGACATTTGGGCCAGATTACCCTGCCCATTGGGAGACAGCGGCAGCCGGGCCTGACTCACTGACACAAGCAGCACCCCCTCCCCCTCGCCCGGCTGTGACTGTCTGAGTGCCTACAGAAATCGCCAAAGCAAAAAGCCACCAGCTGGGCTCAGTGGAGCTGAAAGAAAAAAGAGTCAGTGCCCTTGAAGATAAGTCAATGTTGTTTTTAACCCGAACCCCAGAGAGAAACATGCTGGGGCCCGGGCTAGGCCTTGTGTCTCCAGTAGAGGAGACAGTGCAGTGCGCAGAAAGGCTTGAAGAAACAATGGCTGAACTTCCCAACTTTGGTGGAAGACATAAGCCTACAGATCGAAGAAGTTCCGTGCACCCCAGCGATCAACCAAAGGAACTCACACCCAGACACAGCACATCAGGCTGCTGAGAAGTAAAGATAGGGCCTTGCAGAGTGCGGACGGGGAGATGGTGCGCCCCCTACAGATAGCAGCACGTGTGACGCCTCCTGAGCACGGACCTGGGCCAGGAGGAGGCGGAGCAGAAAGGCTCCAGACTCAGGGCTCTGTTTCCAGCAGAAGTCCTGCGGGAATGAGGTGCCATAGCCACGCTCTCAGATGAACGAAGCCCGAGACTTGGTTGGTGGTGGACGCGCTAAAGGAGTTACTACAGGAGAGAAACCTCCCAGACGGACTCGGCGCATCAGCAGTGAGGAGCGAGCAGCCGAAACGATGGCACAGGTCTCCTCCCCCCGAGTTTCTGAATGTGAGGCTGAAGCAGAGGTGACAGCAGTGACAGGCTTTGGCAGGAACATGGAGACAGTCGGTGGGACTATAAGTGAGGAGAGGTCAGGGACCGGTGTCGTGTAGAGCGGTTGCACCCCACGTGAGGGAATAGACATTGGTGCCGAGTGGTCTGTGAGAAGTTAGGTGTTCACATTGTAACCCCAGAGCAGTCACTGGAGGCACCACACAGAGTGAGTGGAACCAACAGACAGAGAAGTGGGAGAATTCAAACGAAGTCGGGAAAGGGAAGGCAGCAGCGCACACAGAAGGAGCTGCCAGTGAAATGCCGTCCTGAACCCACACGTCCCGGCCATTCCACACGATGCAGTATCTACACACCCATCCAGCCGGCCTGTCGTCAGGTTGTATGAAAACATCGCGTCCAAACCACTCCGTCTTCCAGGGCTCACCTCAGATGTGATGGTGTCGGTGGTGAAAGACCGCAGGCCAGCCGCAGCCCAGAGACAGCGGGAGTGGAGACAGAAATAGACCAATGCTTTCAGTAGATCAATCAATCATGTAGGAGCAAAGGAAATTCCCAGGGACTAGACATTACATGGATAAAAGAGCCAATTCACCAAGAAGACATGGCCCCCGGGAGTGTGTGTCTAAGGCCGAGCTTCAGAATTCACAGAGCGAAGCGCACGGGACCGACAGGCGGACGGCGCTCGCAGGGACGCCGAGCCACCACCCTCCTCTGAGTGACCCCCAGGCCCGCAGATGGGAAGTCCCAGGCCCCGAGAGCGAGCGGAGCCCGCAGCCGCGTGGACCTGAGGGCGTTTGCCAGGTGCCTGCCCCCGGCAGCGGGGGCACATTCTCTTCACCGAGCCAGACCTGCCCTGGGGCACAGCCACCTGCAGGAACAGGAAGGAAGGAAATGGTACGAGGTGCGTGCTGTGATCGCAACGAGACCAGTTAGAAATCAGTAACGTGAAAAAGTCACAAACACTTGGAAATTAAAACCACACATTTCTAAATAATCATAGTCCAAGAGGAAGCCTCCAGAAAGAAGTAGATGACATTCTGAACTGAACAAAAATGAAAATGCAACACAGCGACGTGTAGGATGCAGCTAAAGGGCGCTGTCGTGGGAACGGATAGCATCATGTGCTGGTGCTAGAGAGGAAAAGGGCTCAAATCAACAATCCAATCTTCCGCCTGTAGGAGCTAGGAGAAGAACAAAACCAACCGAGAGCAAGCAGAAATCAGTAATAAAGAGAAGAGCAGTAACCAATGAAATGGAAAACAAAAATAATAGAGAAAATGGAGAAAATCGATGAGAGTAGAAATTGATCACATGAAAAGACCAATAACATAAGCCTCTAGCAAGTCTCAATGAAGAAAGCGCGACACCGGTGACTGGCATCAGGAACGAAAGGAGGGCTGTCTCAGGACCACAGTGTCGGGGACGTTAGGGGGACACAGACTCTGAACAGCTCTGTGGCCACAACTTTGACAACTTTGATGAAATGGGCCAGTTCCTCTAAACCAGACTGAGCACCCCACCTGGCGCAGGCAACCCGAGAAGACCTGTGACTCGTGTAGAAATTGAACTCATCGTTAACAAAATGGAAAAACCAATATCCAGGCCTATTCACTGGGAAGCCTAACCATTCAGAGAGCTGCCCACACCAATCCCAGGTCCTCTCCCAGACAATAGCAGGGATGGGAGCACGTCCCAAGTCATGTAACGGGGCTCGCGTTACACCAAGATCAGAAACAACAGGAAAACTGGGCCCTTACCCCTCAGGAGCACAGATGCAAACACTCAACAAGACGTCAGCAAACTGGGTCCGGCAACAGGAAGAACAACACCACGAGCAAGTGGGCGGCCCCGGGAATGCAGGGCTATTTCTTACTGGACACCACGAGCTGTGACCGACTCACCAGGAACAGCCTGAGGGCGGAGAGCGAGGGGAGTGACGGGGCCACAGCCACTCACCAGGAACAGTCTGAAGGCGGAGAGCCACGGGGCCACAGTGATAACAGCCTGAAGGCGGAGAGCGACAGGACCTCAGAGACTCACCAGGAACAGCCTGAAGGCGGAGAGCGACAGGGCCACAGCGACGGGTGCAGAAAAGCCTGGGCGAGATTCACCCCCATTTATGTGGAGACTGAGCACACCAGGCGCGGGGGGAACCTGCCACCTGCCCCGGGCGTCCGCAGAGCCCTCTAGTGAGCGACAGGTCACGGCAGGGTGGCCAGCGCCCCCGGGGGGGACGGGCGCAGCAGCCCTGCCCTGGGAGCTCTGTGCAGCCAGCGAGGAGACGGGAGCAAAGGCCGCCTGCTGGGCAGGAAGGGCCAGCGCTGCTCTGGTTTGCAGCCACGTGCTCATCTGGGGGGGGGTGACCCCCAGGGGCCACAGCACCCCCTGACGTGAGTGAGTGAGCTGTGGAGGTCGCAGGATAGCAAGGGGTCGCTTGAAAACCCCACCACGTGTCTATACCGGCAGTGAAAGGAGGGAGGCAGCATTTAAAAATGGTTATTTATACGGGCCTCCCTCAGTGAAACCTAACAGATGCAGACGGCTCTGGGCATGGAACACTGAACCCCCTTCGCTGCCCGTCCTGTGTCACCGCGGTTACTCTGTGGGGTCAGGGGACCGGTCAGCGGAGAGAAGGGCCATCTCTGGGGGTCGGAGGCCTCAGCATAGGGAAGATGGACGCTCTCTCCGAGCTGATCAGCGGGCAGCGATGAGTCCTAAACATCCAGAGAACTGCAGTCGGTCCCAGCAGGGTTCTCGTCGGTGCAGAGAGCAGGTTCTGAAACGCGTACGGGAGGCGGAGGGGCTAGAGAGGGAAGCCGCTGGTGGAAAGAGCAGGCAGTGGGGGAGCTCCCGCCGCAGTGAGGAGAGTCAGGAGGCGACGGCAGGGCGAGTGCTGCCGGGAGGGATGGCGTGCAGGTCGGCGGGACGGACGGTGGAGCAGTCGCAGCGGCGTCCCCTGCAGAACCAGACACGCAGCCGCCTCGGCAGTGCTCGGCTTAGGGGAGGACGTGGTCGCACAGGAGCGTGCGCACCAGTGTTCACAGCAGCTCTCTCCGCCCCCCAAGCTGCAACAGCCCGGTGTCCGGGAGTGGGCGGCTGGTACATCGCGTGTGGCGTGCCCCTTGGTGTGCAGAGGAGCGGAGGGGGTGAGACCCTGGCACAGTGATGGCGAACCTTCTGAGCTCGGCGTGTCAGCATTTTGAAAAACCTTAACTCTGGTGCCGTGTCACATGTAGAAATTTGATCTTTGCAACCATAGTAAAGCAAAGACTTATATTTTTGATATTTATTTTATATATTTAAATGCCATTTAACAAAGAAAAATCAACCAAAAAAATGAGTTCGCGTGCCATAGGTTCGCCATCACTGCCCTAGCACCTGGGTCTGGTGAGTGGAGGAAGCCGGTCATAAAGGTCGGGCACCCTCAATTCCAGTCACATGATGTGCTTGAAAACTGGCCATGAGGGGGCAGCAGGAGGGAGGTGGGTGGCGGGCTGCTCTGTGTCTGCTGTGCTGGGCCCTGGGCCCCGCAAACGGAACGTCAGGTTTACACGGTCAGTTTACATGCGTGTTCAGGGCTGAGACGGAGACGTGCTGCGAGGACTGCTGCTGTGAGGGCTGCTCTGCGACCACGTGGTCTTCTAAGACGCCGACGTGGCTATAGTCTAGGGACCCGCGGCCTCCTGGGCGTGTGGGGCGGGTGATAAAGGATGCCGGCGGCCTGGCCATCTCTGCTCTCTGCTCTCCTGCAGGTGAGGCAGGTGGAGTCGGGGACCATCCAGTTCCAGTTCTCGCTGAGCCCCGACGGACCCCCGGACACCCCAGGGCAGCCCCGGCCGGAGCGGCGGCCTTCGAGGAGGACGCCCACGTGCCCCACAAGTAAGTGTTGGCGGGAAGCTGACTTCAGGCCCACAGCCCTCCCGCTGCTCCGGGAAAGCGCCAGGCAGCGCGGGGCGGGTATTGGGAGGTTCGCGGGGGGCTGTGGTCTCAATAGTGGTTGACTGTTACAGCACGTGCCGCATTGCAGGGTGCAGCATTGCAGGGTGCTGCATTATGGGGTGCTGCATTGCGGGTGCTGCATGGGGGGATGTGGCATGGCGGGGTGCTGCATTGTGGGGTTGTGTTGTGGGGTGCTATCTTGTGGAGTGCGGCAGTGTGGCCAGCTGTTATCCCTACGCGTCAGCTGCCAGTGAGCTCAGCTACTCGCAGCTCCCGGCTAAAGGCCCGGGGAAGGTCCCGTTGGTGACAGCTCCCGGCTGCCTCCCATGGCTGTCCTGCGAACACGGGCACGAGAACCAGAGCTGGGCCAAAGCCACGGACCACCAGCTCTGTCCTGCGTTGTTAACACAGCTGTGAGTTTGTTGTTTTTAGATACATTTTTACTGATTTCAGAGAGGACAGGAGAGGGAGAGAGAGAGAAGCATCAGTGATGAGAAAATCCTTGGTCAGCTGCCTCCTGCACACCCGCACTGGGGATTGAGCCCACAACTCAGGCCTGTGCTCTGACTGGTAATCACACTGTGACCTCCTGGTTCATAGGTCGATGCTCAAGCTCTGGGCCACACCAGCCAGGTCAGTTTGTTGTTTTTAAAAATGCTTTCTGCTTCCTTGGAGCCTGTGCAAGAGGGAGGCTGTGGCCTGTCTGTGGCTTTAAGGGAGGGAGTGCAGGTTACCCAGAGTGGCGTCCTGTCCTCCGTGGGTGGGCGGGTGATGGGTCCACGTGCGAGTAGGAGTCTGAGGAGCGGCTGTGGCCTCGGCTTTGTGCTCCGCGGGCTCGGCACCTTCTGTGTTGTCAGCATCTGGTGCAGGCCTCCTGCTCTGCACCCCAGGACACCCAGCCGGCGTCCTATGGCGAGAGGCGCGGAGGTCAGGAGGGAGGATGGGGAGGCGCACGCGGATGAGTGTGCTGCGCCGGCACAGCCAAGGGTGAGCCTGAGGGGGGCGGTGAAGGATGAAGAAGACAGACAAGAGAACAAAGCTGGGGCTGGGTGGGACACTGCCCTCTGATCAGAGACAGCGCCACCGCCTGCAAGCCGAGTCTGTTTTATAGCAGATTCCAGGAGGCAAAGCCAGGGCGGGTCAGGACGTTTACAACGTTCTCGTGGATTTTGAATCTACTCCAGTGGTTCTCAACCTTCCTAACGCCGCGACCCTTTAATACAGCTCCTCATGTTGTGGTGACCCCCAACCATAGAATTATTTTTGTTGCTACTCATAACTGTAATGTTGCTACTGTTAGGAATCGTCATGTAAATATCTGATATGCAGGATGTATTTCATTGTTACAAATTGAACATAATTAAAGCATAGTGATTAATCACAAAAACAATATGTAACATATGTGTTTTCCAATGGTCTTAGGCAACCCTTGTGAAAGGGTCATTCGACCCCCAAAGGGGTCGTGACCTACAGGTTGAGAACCGCTGATCTACTCAGTTACATGCACCTGGTCGAGCTTTGTTTACTTGCTGCACCTCCCGCAGCCCAGCCACGTGGGGCCACAGGTTTGGACCATAAGGTCAAGCTCACAGCCATAGCCTTTGGCCATAATTGCGCTGGGAGGGCTTTGCCTTCCAAACTAGGACTTGCACGTGGCTTTGCCACGAGAGGACAGTGCCCTCTCATTAGTCCGAGGCTTGAACCTGTCCAAACGCTGTGGCCAGTGGTTCTCAACCTTGGCTGCACATTAGAACCACCTGGGAATCTTTCTAAAATCCTGATTTCTGGGCCTCATCCTCCGGAAATTAGGATTTTAACAAGATTGCCAGGTAATTCTAATGTGCAGCCAAGGTCCAGAACCACTGCTGTAGCCGCTCTCCACTGATGAGCATGGAACCTGAGGCTCTCAGCTTCTACAGGTCTCGCCAGCTGCAAGAATGTGCCAGACTGCGGTGGTTGGAAAGTTAGAAAGGGAATGGGCACGAGGAGAGGGGAGCTCAGCAGTCGTTTCCCAAAGGCTGTGCTGCGACAGGGCAGCCCGTCTCTATCGGCCGTGGGTCCCGGTGCTGGGCCCCCTCCGGGCGTGGGCTTTTAGGAGCGGAGACTGGTTGATGGACACTGGGGTTGCTGACGGGGCCACATGGGAGTTTCCTGTCCTGGCGCGAGCAGGTCTGCACGTGGCAGACGCCCGGCTTTGGAAGTGTTTGGCCCGCTCAGGTTCTCCCTGAGACGGTTAGACTGGCATTGAGTGCAGGCCAGTGAGTGCCACGCTGTGACAAGGCCCTCTGTGTGCTCTGCCCGGTGGCCCTGAACTGTGGGGTCACCAGTCTGGCTGGTTTCTGGCCCCGTGTGGGCACTGGGCACTGGTCAGGGGGCTCCTCCCCAGCCCTTGGGGTGGCTCCGGGTGGTGGCACTGGGGGGCTCCCCTGCCTTCTCTAGCTCTGGGGGCCGCTTGCATGCCTTGGCCCCTCCCTCCGTCTCCAAGGCAGCAGGTAGCATTCCCAAATCTCTTCCGACTCTGCCCTCCTGACTCCCTCTTATTTCGGGGACTGTGTGATCGCCGTGGGCGCCCCAGGGCACCCAGCGTCTCCCTATCCCAGCCAACGGTTCGCACCTCAGTTTCCTGGATGTGGACGATTTGGGGGCACCAGTCTGCGAACAGTGCACAGGGCCGCCATGTGGGAAACATCAAGTCTAATTTCATGTTGTGGACACAATACATTCTGGATGGATTAACAAGCAAACCTTTAGAAGCTCCAGAGTTAGAAGGCGAGGAGGAAGACAGGTCCTGGAAATGAGCGGCCTGCCCGCGGGGGCCCTCCGCGAGATGGCCTGTTGGTCAGCGGGACGCAGTAACGGTCAGCATGTGAGTGACCTTGGACGTCACTGCGGACAGCGTGCAGGGCAGGGTGTTGAGAGGCAGCAGGCTCCGAAGGGCGGGGGCCTGCTCGCCGGGCGGCGCCCCTGCCCCTCGGGTTCCTCCGCTGCCACGTGGGGTGGGTCACGGACCTAAACACGAGAATCAGAACTTGTGGAGCCGCAGGGAAGGTCGGAGCGTGTTTGCATGGTGTGAGGGCTGTGATGGTTAAATGTGAATATGCTGCGTGAGGAGATGCATCCACACAGTGAGCACGCAGCCCTGGGACTGGGGTGACACAGCCACGGACGTGAGTTGGCAGACTGAGGAGATGAGGACGCCGGGAGAGGAGACAAAGAGCTGCTGCCGATCAATACGAGGGAGACAACAACCGAAGAGAAAAGTGGGCCAAGGACGCGAGGTCGCAGAGGATTCAGTGACAAAGACCCGCCCTGGCTCAGGGCCGCCCGGCATTGTCACTGCTGTTATCCCCTGGCTGGCAGCACCCGTGGGCAGCGGCCACGGTCAGACCCTTCCAACCACAGTCCGTTAACCTCACACCCACAGGCCTGGAGACCAGGCGCCCAGCGGGCAGCAGCGAGCACAGTGTGTCTCCATGGGATGCTTCTGACTCCAGCCCCCGGGGTGCACACCTGGGCACGGAGCCGCCCAGGGAAGTGGCTTCCACCCGCGACAGCTCCGTGTGGGTGTGGCTTCTGCCCGTTACACTCGCCATTCCGAGGAGCCTGAGGGCATTTTCTCAGGGGAACCCCTGCCCCTTCCCCATCCATCCCACAGATCCTCCTGGGAGTCTGTGACGGGCCAGGCTTTAGAGAAACAATGAATGAACAAGTTACACAGGTGTAGGTAGCAGAAGGAATCAGGTTTCCTCGGGCGGATGGTGAAGGCGGGACGCTGTGTGTGTGGGGCTGGTGACCAGGGCGCGCTCTCCTCCCCGCGGCTCCACACACCCGTCTCGTGAAAAGGGGGAGTCTGACTTGCGGGGACCTTGATGTGCTTGGCTGGTGTCAGGAGCTCTGTGTCCAGCTCCATCCACAGGGTGGGGCGCGTCTAAGCCGAGGTCAGCGGGCCGGGCCGGGCCAGGGAGGGGGCAGTGGGGCTCGTGGGCCGATGACCTGCTGTGGCTACCCATCTTGGCCGCTCTGTCGGGGGAGCCACGGAGACAGGAAGCGACTGTGCCTGTGTTCCAGGCCTCCTTGCGTTACAAGCACAGGTTGTGGGCTGGACTTGAGCGCAGTCACAGCATGCAGACCCCTGATCGGCAGCGTCCTTTTGGTCGCGTCTTTATCGGGTACAAGGGACGCAGACTGGGCTCAAAGTAGCTCGAACAAGGGAGGGACTTCATGGGCTCGTGTGATAGAAAAACCCGGAGGTGGAGCTGAGTGAGGCATGGCTGCGTCGTGGGGACTCCGTGTGATCGTCCCCGTCTGTCCCTCCACAGCCTGTCCCCTGCCCTCGAGCTGCCCGTGCTGGCTTCTCCCAGGAAGGGCTTCTCCACGCAGGGGCCCGGGAGCGCCACGCTTCTCCTGGCCGAGGCATTGCTCTGCCGGGTGTGGGCGCACCAAGCTGCAGGCTGCCGTCCTGGGTGCAGAGCTGCCGGGCCCACGCTGTGGGGTCCACGCTGTGGTTCCGCACCAGGAGCGGGCTGGGAGGGTGGGAGTCGGACTCGGCAGACATGTGGTAGCGTCACCTGCTTTCCAGCAACCACTGGGGACAGCAGACCGGCGTGGAGAGAACCCGGTCTCTGGTTCATCTAATTGGGATTTATCGCTGCCTTCCCACCGCTGCACACGCCGCCCCACCCGGTTCCGAGTGTTTGAAGACACGGCCTCCCGAGACCCAGTGGAACCGACTTGCACATCCATTGCGGTTGCGTCTGATGGAAACTTTTCTGACGCCAGTATTTCACCAGCATCTATGGGCCCCGTGGAAGCCTTAATGACGTGCGGCTGTCACTTTAAGTGAGGTGCTTGGGCTTCCTGTTGTGAATTATCCTTTTATTTCATCCATAAATGACCAGGGAGCAGGGGCCCATGCATCAGCCTCAGGAGAGCCTTCAGGCAGCCACTGGAGGGCGCTCCGTCCCCACTTTTCCTGGCTCGGACTTCCCTGACCCACATTTTGCTTTCGAATGTTCTGCTGGTGTCTCCGTTGTGTCCCCTTCATCGGCGATGTAGAACAGCCATGTGGAGGGGGTCATTGAAAATACGCCCCTCCAGCAGGCAGCGTCCTTCTCCATCCAGGAAAGCGAGCCAGTGGGAGGGGGAGGGAGCGAGTGAAGCTTTAAAGGGGCCTGAGGGCCCTTTGCTGGTGAGTGTCCTCAGCCCCGCCTACACTCTGAGCTCCCCCAGCGTGGGGGCCCCAGCCCACGCCCTTGGTCTCTTCCCGGGTGTTGCTCACCCCCGTCCTGTGCTCAGAGTCGGGCGGGGGGTGACTTTGACCCCGAACCATTAGGAACGAGGCCTCGGGTGGGTTTGCCTGGGGAGCGCTGAGTGTCCGGAGCGGTAACCGCTGATTAGCTCCCGACGTCCAAGGCCTGCCCGGGGAAGCTGTTTCTCACAGCCTTCCTTTGGGTTGTAGCGACCGTCTTTAGCAGTGATGCCCTCCCTTCCCGGCCTTTGGGGGCAGCTGCTGTCCCCTGTCCTGTGACATCACCAGAGCCCCCACCCTGCCTTGGTCTAGCTCAGCGGTTCTCAACCTGTGGGTCGCGGCCCCTCTGGCGGTCGAACAACCCTTTCACAGGGGTCGCCTAAGACCATCCTGCATATCAGATATTTACATGACGATTCATAACAGTAGCAACATGACAGTTATGAAGTAGCAACGAAAATAATTTTATGGTTGGGTCACAACCTGAGGAACTGTATTTAAAGGGCCAGAAGGGCGGCCGGAACTCCAGTGGCGCAAACAGCTGGCATCGGGATGAAGGGCTTCACCTGCCTGGAGCACCGGGCCCACGCCCTCCAGCCGCCCGCCATCGTAGGAAGGGCCGCGCTGCGGGGTCCCCCAGCGTTTGCAGAGAGGGTGCTGCCGCCTCCGCCCTCCGCAGTTGGAGGGGGTGTCCGGGCAGGCCCTGCCCCATGAAACTCACCTGCACTGTTTCTGTACCTTTCAAAGCGCCATCCGGTGAGTGTTGGCTCTTGCCCGGTGGATGCACCCATGACTGCAGTGCCCTCCAGGCAGACGCAGGGTGGGGATGGGGCTCCAGGCAGGACAGCAGGGCTGGCAGCGCCCCTGCTCGCCTTTGCCGAGAGGAGGCTGCGCCTCCAGCAGCCGCACTAAGGCTGGAGGCCTCGGCTCTGTGGACAGCGGTTTCAGGCGGGAGAGTGATGGAGTGACAGCATCAGGGAAATGCAGTCCTCAGACGTGGCCGCACTCACCGAGCTGGAAGGGAGCGTCTCCTTCGTCTCAGGCCGCAGTGGCTCTGTCCGCACAGCTCAGTATGGCCTGGGCCCTGGTTTCGTCCCTCCTGTCTGGGCACCGCAGCTTCCCGGCCCTCGGCCCTTGAGCCGCCCACCACGCCGCCAGCAGAGGGTCGTCTCCGTCTCCGAGTCCCTGATCTGTGTTCACCTGAAGTCGGAGCCTGTGGTGGCCCAGGAAGGAGCCCGCGTGGCGGCAGAGGGTCATCTCCGAGTCCCTGATCTGTGTTCACCTGAAGTCGGAGCCTGTGGTGGCCCAGGAAGGAGCCCGTGTGGCGGCAGAGGCCCCGGAGGCAGCACTGCGACCTGGGGCCTCCTTCCTCGGTGTGAGCTGGGCGCAGCACGGGTGCGGCCAGGAGCATGTTCAGGGCTCGCGGGACAGGCGGACACTGCGCAGGGTGCGTGGGGCTCCCTCTCTGGGCTCTGACGTGCTCAGCAGCTGCTCCTGCAGACCCAGCTCCGCCTCCCCTTTCCATGTGCACGCTCTCCCCGCCCCCCGACCTTGACTCCCGGGCTGCCCTTTCTGGGCGCTTGTGCGGCCTGATGGACCCTGTGTCCAGCGGTGCAGCCGCAGACCTGTGCGCGCCCAGCTGTCACTGCACGTGTTGCCCGTGGTCTCTGGCGGAAGTGGGCTTCCCAGTCAGGCAGTCATCCTGGCTGTGGGGGGCCTGGGGGGGGGGTGAAGCGAGGGCTCTGGGGGGACACGTGTTCTCTGGGCGCGGCCGTGTGGTTTGAGAAGTGACTTCACTGCCCACGACACGGGACGGAAAGCAGGTGTGAAGCGAGGGATGCTGTGGTTTTGGTGCGTTTTCCTCCGCCCGCGCCTCCCTGGGCACGGATTGGGGCTTCGTGCCCTTGGGTCACCAGTGGGCTAGGCCAGCAGCGGCTGTTCTGGGTGCTGTTTACTCGCTGGGAAGATGAGGTTGCCCACGTTTTCGGGTAAGGAATTGCCTTAAAGAACCCAGGGCGGGTACCCCACTGGGAGAACCGGAGGCTTTAATGCCCACGCCCTGCAGGCTCAGACTTCACTCCCAGGGCTCCGCGGACTCCGTGGTGGGCGGGCTCCCGGGGCCGGGCCCTCTCACCAGGGAGAACGGAGCCATCTCCTGTTGTTTTCCTCATTACGAGACCCGCCGGCAGAACTGACTCCATTTAGGGCAGAACAAAGGAGGCTCCGTGTGCTGCGTGGGGTGAGGTGGGGCGAGGTGGGGCAGCGCTCCAGATGGTCTGGAGGGAGAGGCCGCTGCTTCGAGGAGAGCGGTCCAGGCCGAACCCTATCTGTGTTTTGCTTCTGCTGAAGCGCATTTCCCTGGGAAGCCGACTCGACTCGCTCAGCGACGCTCTGACTCCCTCCCCAGGGAGCGCATCTCGGAGCCTCAGGCTCCTTGGCTGCAGTGTGTCGGGCGTGGGCCTCTGAACGGGCTTGTTAGAGGGAGTGGGCAGCCGGCCAGCGGGGCCCAGGGGCTGAGCGTCGACCTAGGAACTGGGAGGTCACGCTTCGACGCCTGGTCAGGGCACATGCCTGGGTTGTGGGCTCGATCCCCAGTGTGAGGCGTGCAGGAGGCAGCCGATCCATGATTCTCTCTCATCACTGATGTTTCTTGCTCTCCCTCCCTCTCCCTCCCTCTCTCTGAAATCAATAAAAATAAAAGAACGGTACTGTGGGTGCTCCTTCTGCACCCCTGGCTGTCCCTGCCCCCTACGCCCCACCAGCCCGGCCCCTCAGCCTGGGCGCACCGCCTGCCCTCCCTGGGTGGGTTCTGGAGCAGCTGGGAGGGGCTGTGGCGGGCGGCCGGGCGCACGGCAGAACAGTCTGGGTGGCGCTTCGTGTGCTCAGCTCCTCCTGGAGGACAGCGGCTGTGGTGCTGTTGGTTTTGTTCGGTGACTGAGAGCGTCCAGGGAGGTGCAGGCGCGCTCTGTGGAGTGTGCGGCACCTCCCGTCACGGCCCGGCGCTGAGGCTGGCTGGTCAGCAGGTTCTGAGGCCTGCCCTGCGCCGTGGGTCCTGGGGACTCGGGGCTGCAGGGAAAGGGGGGGCTCATTGGCTCACGCACGTTCATGGCGCTGCCTGTTCCCCGGCTCAGGCGTGGCTGTGTGGGGACTTCGGCAGCAGAGGCCACAGGAGAGGCAGGGCGAGACCAGAGCAGTGGTCAGAGCCACAGGAGGCAGGGCTAGGCCGCCACGGGTGGGCTGTGACTTCGGGGTCCAGGCTGTCCTGAGTCCAGTGGGGGTGGTGGTCACGTGAAGTGGACAGAGTCTGGTGTCTGAAGGGAACTGTGGTGAGCGAGGCAGGGTGTGGCCCTAAGGGCTGGAGAAGGGCCGTGGCCCTCGGGGAATCCACGCGCGTCTCCCTGGCAGGCGAAGGCGTGCAACACGTGTGAAATGACTGAGAGGCAACAGGTGCCCAGCACGTAGCAGGTCCAGGGCCCGGGGCTGCTCAGCCTCAATTCCCCCACGGCTCGGGGACGGAGGAGGGGGAGCAGCACAGGCCCACAGCAGCCTGCCCCTCCCGACCACCGTGCGTGGCAGTGCTCCGCAGGCGCTCAGCCTGGGGTCCTCAAGGTCAAAGGACACTCTCAGCCCTCCTAGGGGGAGCGCGTGAGGGCTGGCCTGGACTCCTCCTGGTGCTCACAGGCCCATCACCCGCGAGTGGGGCTCTGCGGCCAGGCTGTGCTGAGCGGGCAGTGGGGAGGTGGGGCCTGCAGTGCCAGCGCTGAGGGCCGCAGCAGCCGGAGCTCGGGGTTCATTCTCCGAGGCAGTGATGGGAGGAGCCCCCTCTGTGCTCTGCATACCCACGTCTTCTAAACTGCTGAGCGCGGGGACAGCCTGGTCACTGCTGCCCAACCCCAGTGGCACTGGGTACCCCTGAGGGAGACGTTCAGGCCCTGAGGGGCTGGGGCTCCGGGTGCCCTGGGCTTCAGGCTGACAGCTCCCTCCGGTCCTGTGCTTCCTCCCAAAAAGAGGGGAGGGGCCGCCTGCTGTGTGGGGTGGCCGGGGTCCCGTCTCCCTCCTGCCCGTCTGTGCAGCGGCTGCCAGGGTGGCTTCTGGGCCCTGTCAGGGACCCTCTGTTGGCATCAAAGGCCTCTCTCCCTTCGAAACAAGTGGTCTGCCTGGCAGTGTCTGAGGGTTGAGAATGGTCAGGACTGAACAGCCTTTACTTTCTCCCTGAGACGCCGAGGTGTGGTCTTCACCCTCCTCTGCCCACCGCCCTGCCGGGGGAGGGCCCACAGCACCTGCTGCCCAGGGAGCCCAGCCGCGCGCACTGCTGGGGAGATGGACCTGGCTGTGGGCGGGCCTGTCCATGGGTGGACCTGGCTGTGGGCGGGCTTGCCCGTGGGTGGACCTGTCCCTGGTTGGCCTGTCCGTGGGTGGACCTGGCTGTGGGAGGGCCTGTCCGTGGCAGGGGCCTGCGTGGCAGCAGGGCTCTGGCTTGCTCGGTCAGCGTGTGATTGTGAGCGAGGTCAGAGTTGGCTTGTCCTCCCGGTGGCTCCCTCTGGCAGCATCACCTGGAAGTGACTTTCTAGAAAAGTCGAATAATTTGGGATCAAAGGCCGTCCCTGGGGAGCGGGCTGGCTGTGTCGCATGCAGCTTGGAACCTGGATGGGAGTGATGTTGTGTTTTCCCTGCTGCCGTCCCAGCACTGTCCCTCCAGCACGTCCACTTCGGACCACGGGGCAGCCTTCTCACTCCCAGGGCTGCTCTCTGTTCCCTGAAGATGCTGCCGGGTCCCCCCAGCCACATGCACCCTCACCCATGCCTGGGCACCTCGTCATGCCCTTGTCCACCTGCGCCAGCATGCCCGTGGCCAGCTGTCCCTGCTGATGGGAAACGCCCCGTTCCAGGGCGGGAGGCGGCCGGGTGCCTGGTGCTGAGCCCTTCCCGTGGACTTCCATGTAACACCCCTGACAGTTCTGCGATGCAGGTGCCACGATCACCCATCTTACAGATGAGGAGACTGAGGGAGATAGTAGGTGACCTGCCCACGGTCACACGGTGACGAAGTGGCAGAAGGGGAGTCCGCCTGTCCCCAGTGGTCTGTCTCCAGAGCCCGCCGGCCCGTTCACGTCAGAGGAGCACGGGGGTCAGAACCGGAAGGGCCTTGGCGACGCTCAGCCCAGGGGCGGAGGGGAGCCCAGAGAGGACCCTGCCGCCCACGTGCGAGAACCTGGCGTCCCCGGCCCTTCCTCCCCTCCACCTGCTTGTCCTTGTTGCTGCGTTTATTCAGATACTAGGGGCCAGGAGAGGTCACAGAACCCTCTCTCTCGATAATTCTAAGGACATGGGAATAGCTGGGGTCCAGAGCAGCTGCTGAGCGGAGGCTGTGGGCCTCGCTGCCTTCCGTGGTCGCCTGGAGCCTCCTTCCCAGTGCCCACGTGGGTGGGGGCCTCCATGAGGTCACTGAGTGGCTGATCTCACCAGCTTTCTTCCCTCCAGTTGTCCCTGTCCCAGCTCGCAGCCTCCCCACCGTCCCCCACTCGTTGCCGCGCGGCCAAGCCCTCTTCCCAGCAGCCCGCCAGCTCCGAGCCCTTGGGGGCCCCGGCGGTAAGTGCGCCCCATCCCTCCTGGGTGGTGGCTCCTGACGCGGGGAAGGCGATATGCCAGCACGCTGGCCCCTGGCTAGGTGACCAGGCCATCCTGGGTTCTCTGGGACACGGGGTACTGGAGCATCCTGGGTTCCCTGGGACATGGGGTGACCGGGCCATGGTGGTTTGGGACATGGGGTGACCGGGCCATGGTGGTTTGGGACATGGGGTGACCGGGCCATGGTGGTTTGGGACATGGGGTGACCGGGCCATGGTGGTTTGGGACATGGGGTGACCGGGCCATGGTGGTTTGGGACATGGGGTGACCGGGCCATGGTGGTTTGGGACATGGGGTGACCGGGCCATGGTGGTTTGGGACATGGGGTGACCGGGCCATGGTGGTTTGGGACATGGGGTGACCGGGCCATGGTGGTTTGGGACATGGGGTGACCGGGCCATGGTGGTTTGGGACATGGGGTGACCGGGCCGTGGTGGTTTGCGACACGGGGTGACCGGGCCATGGTGGGTTTGGGACACGGGGTGACCGGGCCATGGTGGGTTTGGGACACGGGGTGACCGGGTCATGGTGGTTTGGGACACGGGGTGACCGGGTCATGGTAGGTTCCCTGGGGTGACCGGGCCATGGTGGGTTCCCTGGGACACAGCATGGGGCCGTCTGTGCCTCAGCATTCGCACCATGAGCATTGGGCCTGGACCTGCCAGCGCTCGGTGGGGGCCTTGCTCTGTGGAGAAGCAGCGGGATGCTGCCTGGGTCTCTGGACGCAGGAGGGAGAGGGATGAAGAGAGGCTCCCAGCGCAGCGGAGGGAGGGCCAGCGAGGCCCCACCTGCCCACCCGCGGCAGCCGTGGCCTGGAAGAGCCCTGTCCTTTCATCCCGTGTCACCTGGGGACCCACACGGAGTTGGCTCTCAAAGTGGCCGGTTCACCTGCAAACTGTGTCCCAGTCTTGCCTGCAAGTCTGGAGGAAAACAGTCTGTGTGATTACCTGTTTGAAGGCGTGGTGCCCTGTTCTAAGCACAGGGCGGGGCGGGGCGTGGTTGTCCCACAGCGTCCGCACTCACAGGGGAACCCTGCCTCGCCCCGTGCACACCGGCTCCTGTGTTTGTGAGGAGCTTGCCTCTCTGTTATTTTTATTGCTGTTTAATCCTCACCCGAGGAAGGTCTGTTGATTTTAGAGCTTGCGCCTCTTGTATTGTTGTGTTGCCTGGGCACATGGTGTCCCTCTGAACTGAGACCGACTGACCGCCTGGGAGCAGGCTTGGCCGAGGGCGTCCTGGGTCCCGCAGGCCTTTCCCTTGGACAGGCGTCGTGCTCTGGAGGGAAGTGGCCGGCGGTGCGAGTGGCGCAGGGACAGGAACGTGTTGAAGGAGGTTGCGTGTCTTGCCCGTAAAGGCGGTTTGGTGTGAACGAGCCTTCTCGGGCAGCACGTCTCTCCCAGGGCACTGAGTTCATAAAATCAGGGATTCCTGCCTCGCTGCTTTCCCCTCACACAGAATACAGGGCGCCCCGATAAATTCGAGCTCCAGATAAAACATAACTTTGTGGTCTAAGCCTGTGCCAGATGTTCCATGGGACTCGCACTAAATTCCTCATTGTCCGCCTGAGGTGAAAGGCCCCGAGCTCCTGTGTTTGCATCTGCTGGTGCCCCGCGGGGCAACCGCTCAGGGATGGGCGCCTAGACCGAGCCTCCTGGGCCTTACCTGGGCCTCGTCCCGTCGGCAGGAGCTCCCCCTGGAGGGCGGGATCGCGCACCTGGAAGCTGACCTGAGCCCCATGCCCGTGATCCCGGGGACCTGTGTCGCCGAGCAGTTGCAGGAGCTGCCCTTCGCCCCCGTGCACGCCCCCATCATCGTGGGGGCCCAGGCCCGGAGGTGAGGGGTGGCTCGGGAGGGACTCGGCAGACAAGTGCATGGAGACCGCGTGGCCCTCTGAACCCAGGCCGTCGGGCGCCCTTCCCCGAGGCCGCTGAGCATCTGTGTGTTCCAGCTCCGGAGGCAGGCTCTCGCGGGCCTGCATGGCGCTCCTGCAGGCTGCCGGCTTCCCCGAGATCCTGGACGCCAGCCAGCAGCCGGTGGAGGCTGGCAGCCCGGCGGACCCCGTGAAGCTCAGCCTGCAGAGGGAGGAAGCCGACCGTCTCCGGGGCAGCGAGGTGGTGCTGCAGTTCCTCGCCTTCAGCAGGTGCGCTCTCGGACGGTCCGCTGCTCTGGCCCTGGCTTGTGCACTTGGTGCATCGAGCAGAAACCTGTGTGGTCCGAGCTGGCAGCCCTGTGCTCAGGTCTCAGTAGACGGCGGGCGCGTCTGACGTTCCGTTTGGCACGGCCTCGCACAGCGTTCCTGTGCTGTCAGCCACCTCGCAAGGGGGTGACTGCAGCCCGCTCTCTGCCGAGGACACCTGACTAACCCGTGGCTCTTGTCGGACTCAGGGTGCCCCAGGACGACCCGGGAACGCCGTGGCCGCGCACCGTGTATTTCACCTTCCAGTTCTACCGCTTCCCGCCCGCCACGACTCCGCGGCTGCAGCTGCTCCCGCTGGACGGGGCCGGGAAGAGCCGCGCGGGCCCCCTGTCACACATCCTTGTTCCCACCAGTCACCACGGCTCCGATGCTGGTGAGTCACACTTTGTCTCAGAGTCTGTTTTTTTAAAATTATCACCTGAAGGATATGTTTTCCATTATTTGTAGAGAGTGAGCGGATGGGAGGGAGGGGGAGCGAGAGAAACATCGATGTGAGAGCCACATCGATTGTGGGGCGTCCCCCTGCCTGGGGTCCCTGCAGCGGGGCGTCCCCCTTCCAGGGGTCCCTGCAGCGGGGCGTC